CCAAAACAAAGCAAGGAATTTCTCAGGATTAAACGATTTGATGATTTCTTAACAACAACAGCAAGAAGAATTTTACCTCATAACAAATATCTCATAGCGAACAATTTCTGGAAACCGAAGCGAGTCATTCCTACATACTCGTTCAGAGCAGTGCAAGAATCAAACAACTTCGAGGGTGACATTTTCTGTGATCGCAGAGTTTTGGGAAAACAGTTCACTGAAAGTGAACTCACACATGTAATAAATAAATAAATAATCTCCCCAGCAACAATTTAACCTTAACGAGACACCTTCGCATGCCCTTTAAAGAGCAGTGCAAAAATGCAAAGACTGCGAGAAGTTAGCGTTGTTCATTTTCCTTAATAATCGAAACCTCTTAAAAATAATTTATACACTCTCTGAAATAGCATTCCAGTTAAAGCAATACAATGACCTACTTGAACAGTCCATAAATGCTCTGGAAACACATTTAACAATACAGAAAGACAGTACTGCTCAGATGTAACGTTTAACCGTTCACGTATAACATAACATTTCACGCGTTCTCTTTCAGCATAGAATTTATTATTCACGTTCCCCTTGACTTAATTTAAACACCAGTCGCATGTTCTGAAAGAATTGAGAGACCTTTTGCAACCCCGCTCATTACCTTAAGATGAAACGAAAAGAAAAAAAAATCTTAATAACAAAGCTTACCAACCAGTACTGAAACTAAAAGTGTAACTGATCTTCATGTAATGTAGTAATATGAATAGTTTAAATATGCAATGATCCATTCCTTAATCCACATAACTAACATAGACAAGTGTTGCAGTGACATTCGAGCAGTACTGTACGTAAGAAAGAAATCACCTTTCTGTAGACACCGTAACAACTTACATTACGATAACAGTCGCCTAATTTGTACATAAACGCTCTGGTAAAGTGTACGAAACATAATGATATTATCACGTTTTAACAATCAAAAACATACACAGACACTATAAAATATTGCACGGAATTGATTGAAATAAGATTAAGATCATACTCAGTCTAATTAAGAGTACACATAATGGATTTAATAAATGCATTATTATCCAACTGAGCCTCATAGAGTACAAATAACGCGCGAGAAGAGCACAAATATCACACGTTATTTGTAGTCCAGAAATATCCACGAAATTCGCCCGCATTTGAGATAACAATTTGGCGTGTTGGATAGCAAATCTCTTAATAGACGTTTT